CTAATAGCCCCGCATTCACTGAGCTACCCACAACTCCCGTCCCAAAAACTCCTTCTCCCTCCATCTAGGTAAACCCTGCGACACCATTAGAGAGGCACCTGATCCCCACCCACCGCATCCAAACATTAAACGTGAAAGAAAGTCCTTCAGTTACCTGTACGTTTCGCCTTGTAGCACTTTTAAAACTTATCAGCGTATAGACACAGTCAGTCTGCGATAGAAAATATTTTTCCCCTTGAGTATTCATAAATACATGACAAAATCAAAAGACTAAAAACAATTTTTTCATTGTTTTTTTATTTTTTCCACCATGGTTCACATCTTTTCTATATGCACATATGGACATTGTGTCACATGCTAACCATGTAGCTGTGTCCACTTTTTAAACCAAATTCCCATCAGTAGACGCATTTAGCTTCAAAGCTGGATCTATGGAACACAACGCAATCTAGTACAAACTCCTAGAAGTATTGTACCTTCTTCCGTAATCGAAATATATCTGGTATCGTTTTCAATTGATTCACTTAGCTCCATTCCGAGGAACACGCCTACCAGGTAGCTATGTCTACTTTCTAAACCAATTTTTTTATCAGAGCACGGAATCAGCGTCAGAGCTGGATCTGTGGAATGTACCCCTTTTGGTACATACTTATACAAGTATTGTGAGCCAATAATTTTAACTAGAAATTACTTCGGGGTCTTTACTATTTGCGCTAGATTTATCACCTAATGTATCGACTTGATTGGAAAAATTAATCTCTCCAGATTTTTCTCCGGTTCGGTTTGATGAACTGTGCACCCATGTAACCCTTTACACTGATGACCTTTGAAATTTGCCCATAATCATGTCCCGATTTGGTCTTACGGCGTACATTGTACTTTGTTGTTATTGTTCTCATACCGCCTCCAAGTGTTCCTGGTCCCACTCATTTATGCGTCCTCCACCCTTATCGCCCTTGAACACTCTCTGTCCCACACTTACCATTCCCGGGCGTCATTACATACGAAATACCCCGAAACCCTCTCCCCCACCCTCGTTTTTGTTCTAGTACATTGTCATCCCATCCTCTTTATGTTGACCTTCATATTTGATCATTCGCCCCAATTGCTTAGCGGACTGCTTTGTTCCATAGGATCCCATGAACCGTTTGTGTGTCTTGCATTGACCAATGACTGCGCTTCTTTATTGAGCACTTGCGATTGGTGTTTCTATCCCTTAAATCGTCCCTTTTCCGAGCCGAGTTGGCATTCCTTTTGGTGACCGCTCCGCAGGTACTTTGTTCTGCACCTTGACCTGCATTGTATTTCGTTCTTGTAACGTGGAGACCGGATTGGCCAACAATTTGAGGTGTGGTGTTTGTTTTTGTACATATTTGTCTGCTTATAGTACACGTAGATTACCGACTTCTGGTTATCTGGAATCGGACTTGGGGTTCGTATCTACGAGTCACTTAACCACTGGACGACAGTCCGGTACAGCTGGTTTCACCCGTTTTAACCTTACGGTGTCTCGTTTGCCTTCCTTATCGATGACCATCTTCCTACCTGAACGGCGCAGGACGCAATGTGGTCCTGTGAGTCGGTTGTAACGGAATGCGTACGGCATCCGTGCGAAGAAAAACTTGAGGTCAAGTGGATAACACTACAGATTGACGAACCTGCTCCACACGCTCCCTCGTCGGAGTGAGTTTTAGTTGGCGCATGTGATGCTTAATGCGCTCTACAAAATCACCATAGTCGAAATCAATCGACTTTAGTGGAGAGACTAATTCGCCAGGAATACGTTGACAGCGACCGTAAACTAGTTCGGTGGGTTGTGCGTTCAAATCGTTTTTAACTACAACTCGAATCCCTAGCATGACTAACGGTAACACTTCTGACCAGCGCGGATTTTCTGACACTCGCAGGGCAGCCTTGAGGTGTCTATGGAAACGTTCCACCATACCATTGACAGCAGGGGGTAGGCTTTTGTCTTACCGTGTTTTGTGCCTAGGGTAGCTAACAGTTTGGAGAATGCTCCTTCAAAATGTGTTCCTCGGTCGGTTGTGGCAATTGCCGGACAACCGAACGTGCTACCCACTGACTAAGGAACGCGTAGGCCACGATCTCCGAAGAACACTCATGGATTGGGATGGCTTCGGGCCATCTCGTGAACGGTCGGTGCATGTTTGTAAGCATATGGCGTCACTTGACCTAGGAATAGGTCCAATTATCTCTGCATGAACGTGGTGAAGACGTGCATCAGGTGTCGGGAAAGAACCTATTGCTGGGCGTGTGTGTATATGCACCGTAAGACGTTGACACTGGAGAAGATTGCGAGTCCATAAACGCACTTCGCGATTGACGTGGCGCCAGACGAAACTAGGAGCAATTAGTTTGACGGTGGCGCGGATGCCTGGGTGTGAGATACCGTGCATCTGATCGAAGATAAGTCGTCAAAACTTATTGAGGACTACTGCTCGTGGCTTACCTTGGCTAACGTCGCAAACAACAGGTTGTTCTAAACCTGGGATGAGTACTGGTTCGATGCGCAGTAAGTGGTTGCCAAGCAATAGTTCTATTTCGGGATCCGTGTCCTGCGTGATTGCTAGAGCAGCTAGATCGATCGGTGTCGATGATATGTTGATAGAAGCGATGCGTGATGACGAATTGGCGACGGGGTTGTCGACACCTGACACATGGCATATGTCGCTTGCGAACTGAGTGATATAGTCTAGATGTCTTATTTCCCGCGGAGAATACCTGTCGGAAGGTGAACGAGAGGCGAAAATTAAAGGCTTGTGATCGGTGAAAACGGTGAACGATCTACCTTCCAACCAGTGTCGGAAGTATCGAATGCTAAAATAAACGGCTAAAAGTTCCCT